CTGATCCCGTGCGATGACGACGAAGGCATAATCCACATACCGGACCCAGAACTTCGGTTTGTTGTGTTGGAAGACCAGCGACTCTAACCGTTGCAGGACCGCCTCGGCGATGGTCCCCGAAATTGGCGAACCCACTGCTGTGCTCTTCACCTGTTCGTAGATTGTCTCGTCGAACGTGAAGTACGTCCTGAGACAGAACTTCTGGAGCTGAAGGACTTGGGCGCGTCCAGGACGATTCTCCGTTTAATCGTATTTGCTTTGTAGAAGCAGCTCGATTGTCTCGATCGCCAGGTCTGGGGGAATAGAAGTAAAAAGGGATGTAACATCAAAAGATACCATGACCTCATTTGGATGGAGGCTTGCCCCTTTGAGTTTCTCCAGGAATTGTGCTGACGAAGAGACCGTGGTGTCTGACTCAGCGGTCAGGAACTTGAGACGTCGAAACAGTCACTTAGTCAGTCCGTAAGTTGGAGTCCCTTTGAGCGACACGATGGGCCGGAGAGGAGCGCCGTCTTTGGGCACCTTAGGGAGGCCATAGAATCGGGCAAAAGCCGTATCTTGGGATCTCGCCATGCGTCCGTCGGTCGGCCGCTGGTCTTCCAACACCACAAACCGACGTTCTGGGCCCGGTATGTGGATGATACCTTCGTCGTTATCGACCGGGATCAACTGTTGACGTTCAAGGAACATCTGAATGCGGTCTTCCCCGACATACAATTTACGATGGAGGTCATTTGCTATGTGGATCAGGAGGTGTGGAGTGGAGCACCAAGGTGCGGGCTCGACCGTGCCATCCAACTGTATCCCCCCCCCGCCTCCGGTCTTTTTGATTGTGTCTTGACACCGGCTGCAGGTGGGGGGAGGAGGAGAGGGCGCGGTAGATTTTCTGCAAGTCTACTACCACTGTAAACTAATTCACGCACAAGTCACCGTCCCTGCTCCACCTCGCTGTGGAGCACACGGTGGACGTCGTCGGCAACGACGGTCGGACTATCGGATTGGATGCCCTCAAGGAATATAGGTGTCTGCTATGTCAAGATCAGCATACCATGGCCCTCGCAGTCTGGTGCGTGCTGGCAGTTCTCTGGCACCTGGCTCCCTGCTGGTAGCTGTGCGTGCACTCCCTCAGGGAATACAGGTCGTGAGCACGTCTGCCCAGTCATTCTCGCCGTCTCTCTCACCCATTGTTGTGTTTTTGGTTAAAATCCTCGTCAGGGGTTTGTTGTGGACCAGGGGGTGTGGTGGCAAGCCTAGCTCAGCCGTGCCAGCCACCTACGCCCGGTCTTCTTGACTGTGTCCTGACACCGTGCCGAGATGAGGAGGAGGAGTGATTGAGGTAGATGCTGTGCAAGTCTCGCTGCCATGAAGCACACGGTGGACATCGTCGAACTGTCATTTGTCTCGTGTCAGCCAGCCCTAACTCGGGTCTGAAAGAGGCAAGATTTCAATCAGGCTCCAGGTGATCATTGTGTCGAACACCCCGTCAGTGGAACACCGAACTTTACAACCCCGGGGTCCGAACTTAAGATGCCAGGTCTTCCTGTTTGGCTGATGAGCACAAGTTGGCAGGTAACAACACCTGCGGCCTCCGAACTATAATAGATCTTTCGTGAAATGACGCATCTTTTTCGAATTAAGTGACCAACTGTAAATTACCTACACTGTAATCTTGTGTCCAAGAACGTCTGGCAGGTGTCTGGTTGGGGGCGAGATGTTAAAGTATGCGCTGGCCAAACCAGAACGACGATCACCGCGAGTTTAAGTATAGTAACAGGAGATAGAGGAGATTATTGTCGAGCTCCAAGACTCCCAGCGGTATGGCCGGCATGCGTGCACTCGGAAACTTGCATGCAGCGTTACTTTGGTGCACTTTAAAATGGCAGCTTTTGGCATCTGATAGCCCTGCGGGCCGAGAACATGACAATGATCGCGGTTAACCAGTGCTCACTGCCTCAGTCCACATGAAACAAACGGTGTCCGTCGCATGCATTGGCGACCCTATCCTGGCTGCTTTGGAGGCTCAGAGAAAGTCGAACGGTTGGCAAAATGACTGCTCAAACATCGCATACGACAATGTCCCGGTGTTCTCCACAGCAAAGTGAGAGCAGGCACGGTGACTTGCGCGTGAATTAGTTTATAGTGACAGCAGACTTGCGTAGCATCTACTGCACCCTATCCTCCTCACCCACCTGGCTCCGGTGTCAAGACAGAGTCAAGAAGACAGGAGGTGGCGGAGGAGGGGGGGAGCGGGGGAATGACACGGCCAAGCCCGCACCTTGGCGCTCCACTCCACACCCCTGGTTCACAACAAACACTTGACCAGGATTTTAGCCAACAAAAGAACCACAGAGGGTCAGAAGGAGGAGGATGATCTGCTCACGATCCAGCGAGAGCACCAGCGCATCTACCGGCAGGGGATCAGGTGTCGAAGGACTGCCAACGCATACCAGGCTGCGAGGGCCATGGTTTGCTGATACTGGCCTAGCAGACGTCTACAGACCTTTAGACACGTGGCCTTGCATTTGCCTGGGTCGTCACCCTTCAAGGCTGAGTAACCAGACAGTCCTCGACTGAGATGCACTACCCATAAAGCACACACACACACACCCCTCACAGGCGTGAGAGTATCACAGACCACTTAAGACGGAGCCGTGACAGTCTGGCTCTCAGTCCACCAGTCCGCCACTCCGCCCAAACACACACAACTGAGCTGACTGCGTGGACTGTGTTGAGGTGTTAGTCGGCAGTCTTCCATGTCACGGCGCTTGGCTCACCACGATAGTCTCAGACTCCGATCTTACATGTGGCCGCACGATGAAGGTGCCGAGGTGCATACTCCCCATCTGCGTGGGAGATGGCAATTGGGTGCAGGTTTTTTGTGAACGCGCATGTGTTCTAATAGGCACATGCGGTAAGTAAATGTGTGGTTGCACTGAGGGCAGTTGAGGCGGATGCTGCGAAGAAGAGTTTCCGTTTAATGTGCCAAGAAATTTACACAATTTTCAATATCAAGTTCTCGTCACGCTGCATTTTTGCGGCTACTATGTTCTTTCTAATTCTACTCGCGATAGACCAGTTTATTACTTACATTGATGACCCTGTATCGTTCAAAGCTCCTTCTGTTTCATTTCTGTGCATAACTATTTCTATTTGGATGAGTCCTCACTCTACTTTTTATTGATCAGATTATTTATCTAGCCCTTATTTGCTATTCACTCTGCCACACTTTTTCATCCAATACGAGCGCTACCCTTCAATCTCACTGTCAACGAGCCAGTCATCTACCCCAATTATCTGACCTCTGACCGACATCGGCTAATCATGTCCAACGATTCTGCCAGTCAGCCGATAGCCGGCATTCACGCCTTTGACCTGCCATCCGTGTGGCTTGGTGACATCGCGTTGTGGCTACGCCTTGTAGAGTCATGTTGCGCCCTGCGCCAGATTAAACGAGAGGATACAAAATTTCACCATGTTGTGGCAGCACTCCCTATGGACATCGCCACCGACCTCCTAGACGTCATATATTGACCCTGACTTGCTAACGTGTTCCTTTGTATTTGTCCGCGTAGATAGCGTTTGCAAGCCACTACGACGGACCATTTCGAGTCCTGTCGCGGGCGGGCAAGCATTTTGAGATCATCCGTGGCGATCACACCGAAGTGGTATCTATCGATCGGTTGAAGGTGGCCCATACCGACTTTTCTTCGCCCACCCCAACAGATCAGACCTCTTCACCTGCCACATGCCTTCTGCGATCACCCCGCCTCCGCCTCCACCTGATAACCCTGTGCTTTCCCCTCCCCTCCCGATTCTACCCCTTACGCACAGCGGTCGTCCTGTCCGTTTCCCTGATCGTTACCAACTTGTACATTAAGCCTTGTCTTGTATTTGTCGGTAATGCCATTCTGCCTTTATCACGCGCCGCTGTGCGGCTGCTAGTTGGGCTCGAGAGAGCCCGTAGGGCACAACGGAACGAGTGAGTTCCGTAAAAACTATCGGTGAGCGTCCCTCTACCATTGCCTAACACTTGCTTAATTCACACCCATTTTTCATATCCGAACTCTGTTGTCCTGGGAGGGGGGGTATTGTAGTCACACGGAGAAGCGTTTTCTTTTAACGCGCCAAGAAAGTTACACAATTGTCAATATCAAGTTCTCGTCACGCTGCATTCTTGCAGCTACTTTGTTCTTTCTAATTCTACTCGCGATAGACCGGTTTATTACCTGCAAGTGTGCGCTGGTGCTCCAGACACTGGTTCGCCAGTCTCTATGCGATGGAACCGCAAGTGACCGACCAGGCCGATGGGTGAGGCAACCATGCGGAGACAATATGGACAGGATAGGTCGGCAGTGTCGCGGCCCGTTTCGGTGATGGTGGAGCTGCTGCTGATGATGATTGGCACGCTGGACGACGGCGTGTGATGTATTAGCACGGCGCAGGGCGATGCCCTCAAGTGTGCAGTCTAGCGGTCTGCACGCTGCTCTGAATTGTGAAGGGTGTTTCCAGGCCCTGCTGGCAGTTGAGTCCCGCTGCACCGACTTCGAGTCGTCCATTAACGCCCCCTCACCCCCCGCCCCCCTCCGAGTACACTTGTCAATGCGTTTCTCACGTGTGGTGCATGCGGTGACGGCTGCCGGCATGGCTTCACACACACACACCCTTCCGGAGTAGAATGACTTGGTTGGCTCTCGTAAGACGCGCGCGCACAAGAGAAACCACGGCGCAGCTGGAGTTCGACATAGGTTTTGGCAGGCTGACCACCAACAATGCTAGGATGCAGCATGTCAAGTCTTTCGACATTAGCTGGGTGGAGTTTGAAGGCGTCTGCCATGCCAGTTCCCAACTCGCGCTCTATTGACTAAGCAGACACCCGAAAGAAATGAAGTCAAAGTGCAGCGGAAAGGAATGAGTTTGGTTTAGATTTTTTTTCTGTGTTCAAAGGAGACTGACAGCGCCCAGGAGGTGCTATATTAATAAACCTATTCTATCAGCAAATCATGGCCCTTGCAGCCTGGCAGTTCTCTGGCACCTGGTCTCCTGCCGGTAGATACGCTGGTGCTGCCGCTAGGATACATAGGTGGTTGGCATGGCTGCCCAGTGATCCTCCTCCTCATCGTTGTGGTTTTTTCGCTGGTTAAAATCCTGGTCAAGTGTTTGTAGCGAACCAGAGGGTGTGGAGTGGAGCGCCAAGGTGCGGACTCGGCCGCGCCGTTCGTCTGCGCCCTCCCCATCTCCGGTCTTCTTGGCCATGTCTTGACACCGCGTTCTACTGCCACCATCGTGCCCACTTTTACTACTACTACTACTACTACTACTACTACTACTACTACTACTACTACTACTACTACTACTACTACTACTACTACTACTACTACTACTACTACTACTACTACTACTACTACTACTACTACTACTACTACTACTACTACTACTACTACTACTACTACTAATACTACTACTACTACTACTACTACTACTACTGCCACCACCACTACCACTACTACTAATACTAATACTACTACTAATACTACTTCTACTGCCGCCATCGTCCCCATTTTTACCAACATCCCCCTTCCGTCACGATGCTGGCCAAAACCACTAGCTCCATACCAGCCGCAAACTACTTACATACTCCAAATATCAAGTCCGCTATTTCCTAAGAGAGAGTTAATACCCGGCAGGGATTGCGAGATCCTCATTAAAGTTTACCCCCATCCTTCCTCCCTGAACAGTATGACTTAATTCCAAACCGCCGCAAGCAAGCTCACTCGCTCCGATTTATTCGCCTGCCTCGGCGACAGGAAGTTTTTTGAAACATGAAAATACAAGACCGTCATCTCTAAAGGGAGATACAAAAACAAGAAAAGACAAGGACTGCTAACTGACAACTGCCAAAGGTGTTCAGGCCGGAAGACGGAAGCCGTCCGCGTGGGGCACTGAGGAACTTCAAAAAGAAGGGCCAAGTGGTGGGAGTGCCGACAGAAGCGGTGAATGATATGTAGCCCTGGGCTGCGTGTGCGTGTCTGTGCCTAGCGGAACTCTATCATTACTCCCGAAGCAGGTTGAACTTGGGAACACCCTCCCTGGCCCACATCTCCAGCAGCTCGAGACGTTTGTTGCAGGGAGTGTTGAAGAAAATGCGGGCTGCGAGAGAATAGCGTTGGGGCGGCAGGTCTCCTCCATCGGCTGCGGTCTCCTCGTCAGGCGTGTCCAGCCCAAAATCGCGCCACTTTTGATTCCGCCAGTGACAGGTGTACTCCGTCAGTAGGTTTCGCACAAGGACCGAATCAAAGGGCGGACCGCCTGGCGGCAGAGAAGAGCGCGGTTGTTTGCGCGGCAGTTTCGGACACCGAACCTCGGGGAACACGAGGACTCCGCTGAAATGAGGCAAGGTAGACAGACTCATTGTGTGAATCACTTTGTCTGCTGTTCTGGGGAAAGCACCCAAAGACCTATGCGGAAGAGGTTCTTCCCGAGTTTGGGTGCGGAAAAGCATGAAGTTGACAGGACGGGGAGGTCGCTTTGGTGGATTCACAGTCGAACAAAGGGGTCAACTGTTCGAGGTGATAATTACACTCTAATCACATCTAGTACCCAACCATCCTCTGTGCCTTCACGAAGCTCTACTGAGCACAGGGTTAGTCCGACTGGCGAGAGAAATAAAAGGAGGATAGCTGACCAATTTTCCCAAAGCCCGCGCAATCAAATTTTGGCAATAGGGATGAACAGATGCATGCGAAAGAAGGATTGTTTCTACATCAGCCTAAGCCTGTCGGCAGTCGAGCTGATTTTTTAATGTCATTGTAATACGATTAATTAACTAAGCTAATTACCTGACTAATTAACTAAACTAATTAACAAAGCTTCCTCCCTGTAATCCACTTGACACGAGAGTCAGCGTTGTGTCACTTACAGTCAGATGTAAAGATGTTGGTAAAGTTCTACCGTTTTCCAGGCCACGTAGTAAACTTCAGGGACTAGAATAAAAAACAGGACGTGCAAACAAGCTTTTTGCAATCAAGCATTTAAATCCCAGCACCTGAGAACAAATGCCACAAGTACGCGCGGATTTCAAATGTCTCGCATGCAAATTCAAGAGTTATAGGTTCCTTTAACTGCCAACTCGCTGGCGACATTAATTTATCACCGTGGTCAGAAAACCAACAAAGTGTCTTGGTGGGTGTCTTTAGGCTACAGATCTCAAGTCCTTGCTGACAAATAAACGAAACCGAGCGGCACTGGGAGGTGTGTATCCTAAAAATTAGTTTGGAAGAAGAACCCATACTTGAAGTCATCATCAAAGAATAACCTTTTCGCCTGTTTTACCGACACCTGAGAGGTCAGACTAGCTCGGAGTTCGGCAGGTGTTATCGGAAATGTGCACCCATAACAAATGCCAACGTTGGAGTGTGACGGCACGCCCAGTTGCCGGCTGACGTCGTGCCACCTGGGATCCGTGCCGCCCCCTATTTTTGTCGTGGCACAAAATCCTAGTCGGTGTGGGTTGTGGACGAGAGGATGTAGTGGCACGCCTAGGTGCGGGTTTACGCCGTGCTAGCCGCCCATGCCCTCTCCTGCCTCCTGTCTTTTTTACTCTGTCTCGACACCAGGCTCAGGTGGGGGAGGAGAGAGTGCGGTAGATGCTGAGCAGGCTCCAATCACTTTAAAGTGACTCACGCGCAAGTCACCGTCCCCGCTCCCACTCTGCTGCGGAGCTCACGGTGGACATTGTCGGTCACGAAGGTCGAACTGTTGAAAGCTGGGAGTTCTATTAACTATAGTTCACGAGCCATGCTGTAACTGCCAGGTTGTAATTACTCGGGTAGTTGCTTAGTGATGGGTATGTTGGTAGGAGGACTAGCTGACGGGCAATTAATTTACCACCTGACTGCGGTTTAGATGCCTTTTTGTAGCGACCCCTCGCAATAATCGCAATCCCAGCAAAATCGAAGGCATGCCGACTCTTGCATAAGTATACCAAGTGACTGGCCACATCGACCGACTGTCGCCCTGTGAACCCTATTGTCAAGTGGCGGGACGTTTGGCCCACGTAACCGGAGGAACAGTTGTCGCATTCAGTGCGGTGTATGACGATGGATGCCTGGTCAAGACCAAATCTGCCTTTGAGACTCCTCAGTCTAAACAGCAAAAGTTTCACTCTCTGATGATGAAATCAAGCACGAGCTCGAAACGTCAGATGAGTGCAGATGACACTTCAACCTCGCGAGCGACGACTTTCACCGTGTGCCTCGCGGAGTGAGTACAACACCCGTGATCTGCGCGTGAGTTACTTTAAAGAGAGGCGGTCTGGCGCGACATGCTCTCTCTTTCCTCGCCAACCGGGCTCGGATGGCAGCAAAATGTCCAGACGATCGGAGGCGAGCTGGGGCGCAGTGGTTAATAGAGCTAAGCAGTCCGTCCACGCGTGTTACACACGATCTGGTGCCTGCACAGTGCACCAAGTCAGATCAGATCGGACGTTTGTGCCATCATCTGGCAACCTTCTAAGCGACGGTATTTAATGTATCCTGATGATTTCAAAGCGCGTCAGATCTATCAATGTGAGAAATGTGCTGGTACGCCGTGAGAACAGATTCCCTAGTGTCGGCCTTAGCCTCTCCTCTATCTAGCGTGCCAGTCCACTGTCCAAGGCGGACAGTCGTCTGCTGCCGGAGTTGGGTTCGGAGATTGACAGAAGTGTATTAACCCACAAACGGCCTGGTACCTCGCACAAGCACACATAATCTCCAGGAAGCAGAACGTCCGCCTTCTTCTTTGGATGGTTGTTCTGTTGATCTTTCTGTTATGATGGAGAGTACTCACGCGGGAGGTTAACCACCAACATATTTTATTCAGCACTTCTTTCCGTGAAATGTTATTAGAAAATACACTACTTCAGCTGCGATGGTAAATAGTGCTCGAAAGTAAGGGAACGAAACGGTGTGCCTGGGTTATTGAATAGTAAAATTTTCGACGAAATACTTTCACATACCGTAGCTGAATGATAATCGGGCTAACTCTGACAACTGAAGGGAAACTTTATTGTCCCTCAAACATGAACATATCTTTGTCAGCTTTAGTGTCACTTACAGGTATGAAAGGAAGACGGCCATTTTCTTGCATTAACGTAAAAAGAAGAAAAAAATTGTAGCTCAAAAAGATATGATGGTTTTAAAACGAATTTTATGAGTACTCTCTTCTGCGGCCGACAAAAGTTCGAGTTCCAGGTGTATGTATAAGTAAAGAAGAAGAATGGTCGAGCATCGGAACAGTTTGTTTATTGTTCTGAGCTTTCGAACACTTGTGCAGGAGTCCATCGTCAGAGATAGTAGCAGAAACAGAACAAGGGCGTGTAAGCCAATCATCGGCTGACGACGCAAGGCTGGAGGTGACTGCGCACGGCTGTGTACGTCGGCGCCAGATCGATAAATCGATTGACTGAGTACTCTGACGGGGCCCAGGCTTCAATCGATTCTCGGCTTTCGTTTCCGGCGTGCGCGACATTTTGGTAGCTGCTAAGTTAAACTTATTACCCCTTTCGTAAGTGCAGACGACCACGTGTGATAATGTGCCACCTCGTCGCACAGCCGACTTATGTTCGTGTATGCGCGATCCAAACATGCGTCCAGTCCGGCCTGTGTAGTTACAAGGACAGTTTTGGCACGGGATGCGATGAGCTACTTCAGATTGCTCCTCAGACTTTAACCGGTCCTTAATTTTCACGAAATTACTGCGCATGGCGGCTTTGGGGCGGTGCGCAATTCCAACGCCTAACTCCGCAGCAATGCGCTCGGTGGCTTCTGAAACGTCCTTGATGTGTGGCAGAGAATGCCATATCGTTGGTGGTGTTAATTTTCGGGTCCTCTGGGGGCGACCGCATAGGCAGCGACCTATGAATGCCTTCGGATAGTTATTTTGCGCAAAATGGTCGCGAAGATAACGGGCCTTGCGTGCTCGTTCCTCCAGTTTGCTGCAATGACTTTGGAGCCCTTTGAAGAACGTCTTCACACAGCTTCTATTTCCTTGAGTATTTTTAGCCGATATTATCATACAACGAGGTTTCGAGACGGTGAAGCAATTTGCTGGTCGAATTCTGAATGACGTTGCCCATATCCTATATTCTGATTTAATCTCTGCGAAGTCCTCCTGCCCCATGCGCCGTGGCTTTCAACATACCTCTTGCCGTACATCGTAGATCAGCATTCTGCATTGTCATTCCTGGCACGCTGTCTTACGTGTGAAGAGACAGAAATACAAAAAGTGAGACTTGGATTGTCCCCGTTATAGCTGTTCCTTTCTGTGCAGACCTCCTTGACTCTTGAGTAATTTTCTAAAACCAACCCTCAGACTGTACTGTTTCTTCTGAGAGCGATAACTCTCAAGATCATTCCAACGTCAATGTTGACTGCTGGTCATAGTGCCTACGCAAACACACACACCAGTAAAACCA